TTTATTTTTTATTTCTACTTATAGGCGCAAAATACAGCCCAAGTAGAGGTAATTTCATTTGGCCTGATGATACAGATGTCGTTTACTCCGCTTGGAATCCAGGGGAGCCTCGCTTTGGATTGGACTGTACCCTAATGCTGAACCGAAAAGGCTGGGGCACTGATCGATGTGATATGGACCGTAGCTATATTTGTAAGAGAGGTACGTACATCCCAAGAATTGCCCGTTATGAATTAGTCTGTGTTTTGAGCTTGATGCAAAGCATAAATTCACTATCATCGAGGAAACCTAGATGGGAGATTTTTACATAGAGAACGAAGAAAAGCGTCAAACCTATCTCTCCCTCCTCTCGTTTAATATGCACGAAACTATTTTCTTAAGTAAACCTTTGGTCTTAATTTCCCTCAGTCTCCAGCTCTCTTCCTTGTAAAGCGCCTTTGATCATCCTATAATGTGTTAAAGGGCGCTATATAAGTAAATAAATTATTAAATTAAATGAAATTATTATTCCCACTGTGTATATCTTGTTTCAAGGCTGTATTTAAATTCTGTTTCCCTTCCTAAGCCCTAAAAGCCCATGGCACAGTACTTGCGATGGACTACCATTTTTTTGTCCCTTTTCTCCTGCCTTGGAAGTGTCTACTCTAATATCGTGAACGAGGTAACTGGCCACGCATCAGACAAAAATAGAACTGTCATGCATAATTAGTGGCTAACGCATTCTCGTCCTACAGAAGTGAAAAATTACAAAAGGAGCGTAGTGGAGGTAAAGAAAGAGAAGAAGGAGAACTATCAGTGGCAAGCAGAGGAGTGGGGTGATTGTTCTGTATCTTGTGGGGGAGGGAAACGAAATAGAAAGACCCTCTGCGTTGAAGTGGACAAACAGAATCAAGTGGACGAATCTTTTTGCGAGGGTAAGGCTGTCTCTGATCAAAACTGACTACATCACTCTGCACAATGATGTCAAATTCACATCAAATGCCTACATCTCAGTATTATTTGAGAAGGAGAGATATTACCTTTTTATTCATCCAAAAAAGTATACGAAAATGTATGTGAGTAAGACACAAAGATGTTACAAGGCAGTTTCATTTGGAGTACCGTATGTTAATTAGACCAACAAATGTCAGTTCTCGAATAATACAATGGAATAAATTACATCTGCGAGCGACTTTTATTTAAAACTTGGCGCTGGAAAAAAAGAAAAGAATCATTCTAATACGGGCAGTTAAAACATGTTCATACTTTGTAGACAATTCACCGCCATTAGCGTGGCAAGACTGCAACGTGAACCCATGCCCTTCTCAATACAAATGGCACGTGGGGGATTGGGGAGATTGTAGTAAAAGCTGTGGAGGTGGAATACAGCGGCGAAGAAAGATTTGTACCGGGAAGGATATGATTTCTACCTCCTGGAAACTCTGTAGAGAAGAACCTCCAATCACCAGAAAGAGGTATCAAAATAATGCTTAAGTTGATTGTATCGTCATCATGAAAATGAAGACAAATAATAGCTGAGTTTGTTAAAAAAATGTCTTAGTGGAATAATTGCATTAGTCTGATTGTCCTTGGATACATTCGAGTTGGAAATAAGTTTCGCTCTGTGCACTTGTGTTAGATAATGTGGAAAGAAATTCTCAGACCCCAACTTCTTTGATTGTTATAAAAATTTAAGTATGTATGTCGTGCAGAAATTTGATTCCTGCTCATTTTGTCAATTAAATGTCAGAAGATAAAAATTTAAAGAAATTTAAATGTTTTTTTTGGTCAAATTAGGTGCAATACTAATTCCTGTCCAAGAAGAAACACTTATAGTTCAGTGGCACCCGTTTGGAGGGTGAGTGAAAAATATATATTTCTCTGAATCACACAAGTGGTAAAGCTAATACAGGATCGGCATTCAAAGAAAACAGAAATGAGTAGTTTTTCAAGTCGCAACATTCAAATTATAGTCGAATGACCACCTGATCACTTTTGAGCACTTATCCATAGGAATTCGCATCATTGTTTCTTTCGTCATTTGTCATTCCATTAAAACGATACCTCCGGTCATTTTGGTCAGCGGAAGTTGGTCAAGACGCCTGTGGAATTTTGAGAGAGCCTATACAGTGTCTGTTTAAGTTGCCCGCCTAGAATAGCTTTGCTAACTGCGGGCTACAAAGGCCTTTATTTCTTTAATTTTAAAAAAATAAAGTCAATGTTGTTTTTTTTGAAAGAACGTTCGAGTTACATTGTCCTTATAGGTGAGCTCGTGGAGCAGATGTTCCAAGACTTGTGGACATGGTCATCAGATAAGAAGAGTATTTTGTTCCAACAGCGACAATAAACTACTGAATGGGACAGCTTGCAATGGGCAAACAAAGCCTCTTTCCTTACGACGATGTTTTGTCACGAATTGCAATCGAAAGAAAGGTACAGTTGTGCGGTAGAGCTTGTATCGCTCTCTTGTAGATGCGCATATATCTAATAGCTAAGTTTCTCTGTTGTATTTTATACGTGCTTAGAGAGAAGCATAAAAAATGTCTAGCCTCAACGTAAGAGTCCCAGTTCCATTTATCCTCTGTTCATTTATCAGGACACATCTTTTTTTTCTGGAATGGTAAGCGGCAGACTGGGACAGGAATTTACAATTCTTAGCTAGGGTGAACCCTCCTTAAGACCTTCGTTTTTCAAAATACTTTCACACGATTGAACACTACCAAGAGATGAAAAGGAATAGACTTGGGCTACTTCTTGGTTTTATTCTATTAATCATTTGCTATCATCTCTCTCAATTTTTAAACGAAGCTCCCGTGTGTTCTGATGGTCACGTGATGTGCAATATTTGGGCAAAGCAGGGAAGCTGCAAGACAAGCAAGTGGGTTCGAAGAAAGTGCCGCCGCAAATGCAATACGTGCTAATGACTCGGATCTCATGAGCTTATGACAATTTATACAGATCATTGGCTCTCTGGATCAAAGTAATCAACCTAATGTGGGACTGTTATGAGAGGTCCTGTTTCATACGACCATAGACCCATTGCCGGGCAGTTCCGTGCCATTAACTATTTGTTTTGGTTCAGCAAGAAACGTGGCTGCTTGGGGTGCCTAATAAAGGCAGAGTACAGTTCTATTTGATATCCTAAACCAGTTTATCAGACATCGCAGTTAGTTGTAAGTCAATCACAATAATTATATTTTCATATAACTGCATCACGAGGATTGGAACACTCCTTTTGATTTTAGAGCTAAAAATATACCTCTGAATACAATATTCTGTTCAAATAATATAAGGGTTCTTTTAAAAACACACTATATAAATATTTTATAGGCTGCCAATCTTTCAGTTATTGCCAACGGATAACTTTCTGCTTTGCTGCTCCTTTTAGCGGACTTTATATTAAGATAGTGAATAATCGAAGAAAAGGAATTGATTCTCCAGTTAAATTAAGCTTTTAAGTGATAGCCTTTTTCTGCCTTATTTAGAGCGATCAAACCTTCTAAAATAGTTCAGCGCGGATGAAAACAGAGTAGGAATTTTACTTTTTTCAATGCAGTCCAGTCTCAATGTAAAAGGCTAGCAAGGAGATCTTTGATTAAATGGTTTGATGATTATCAGAATAACTGTGGATTTGAAAAGGACAGAACCAACTAAACGCTGTGACATGGGCTTCCGGTGGAATGTGGTCGCGAGATACTATTTTCTTTGTCCAGTTCAAGGGTATATCAAATTTACACCTATTCGTACATATCATCTGTGGGACGAAACACTAGTGCTTCGAGACGATCTATTTTTCCAGTCAAAGCGCAGTCACACTCTCATTTACCCATTCAACTGAATGTTCCCCTTCTCGATGATGAAACACGCCGTACTTATCATGAGCGCTAATCACACCGAGGTGGAATAGTCGCCTGATCCAGTCCACTCTCCAGTAGATGCCGAACTGCCAGAAACACACGAGGAGCTTGGGGGACTGGGCGTGCTTGACGTGCTGCCCTCAAAATGGTAAGGCTGTTGCATGATCCACACGATTTCAGACGAGGGAAGCCCAAAATCCTTAGTGGTTTTTTTATCACGTCTCTTGCTGCCATCTTGGCTTTTCAACTTGTCAACAGTATCTTTGTCCTCAACTTCATCCTCTTCTTGATCCTTGAGTGTTTTAACGATGAAATGAAGTCTCGGCTCATCACTGTAAGAAACCTTCTCAGCGCTTATTCTGCCATTCTCGTCCACTGACAGGTACCAACCCTTACCGTCTGCGTCTGAGTGACACGTGCGAAAAATGTTGTAAAAGTTTTTTCCGAAGAACTCTCGAAATACACATTCCTTTCTCTCGGCTTCCTGAGGGTAGTGAGAAAGAAATAGAATAGATTAAGGAGGCGCTGTGAGTGTCCAATAAGTGGGGAGTCTAAAACAAAGTTTTCAAAATAATACTTTTCAAATAATCTCCACCCGTCACTATCCAAGGTGCTTTTTGACAAAATTATTCCCTTTTTGCTTTTTATTTATCTCAGCAATTCATTTTTCTTAAATTCTACCCCCTTAAAAGGATTTTTAATTATTCACATAAAATGAATCAATGCAGATCAATGAAGATATTTCAAATAGTAGGAATTTTACGTATATATCAATATATGTCAATGAACACGATGATTGGAATCATCTGAAAGTAAATGTTTAAAACAATTTGGATTCAAGGCTATTCAAAATCTTTGGGCCTGTGTACCAGAAAACGGTCTGATGCCTTAGATATTCTTGGCTCTGTGCACACCCGTGCCATTTTTACTGATAATGACTCTTCATTTCATTAAAAGGATATCAATTTAATCCACGGAAACTGTGCGACACCAACAATAAAGTCAAAAGAAAACTTGAGAGAAACAATTTCAGCAAAACAAACGAATGAACGAATAAAACAGTACAACACTGAAAATCCAAGATTATTTAAGTTGCTTAATCAATGAAACAAAAAGTCAGTCTTCGAAAGTTTTTCGATTTGACTCACCGTTGCAAAGATCTTCCCCTTGTTGTCCACGGCTAGATATTTTTTAGCCTTTAGTCCCCAGATGGCGATGAGGTCAGGCCCAATAGAGAGAAATTGCAAAACGGCTAAGAGAAGAGACATTTCATATATTGTGTATTAAATGATGAAGATAGCTAAGATCTCTCATTTAGGAGAGGGGTTCACGGTAATACTCCGCCACAACAGCTAAATTCTTAACACTGTTAACCAAAATATGGCTAGCCCCTTTCCTTAAACATTCCACATGCTCCTACAAAGTGGGCGCATTGAAACACCGCTTTTCTAAAAATAGTTCGTTATCGATTATACAATGACTGAAGAATTGTTATGATTGGCAGCGCCTTTTTACGGCGTTACAGAGAAGCAATGATGATTCATTGATTACAATTTACACTGTAGTTCTTTTAGAATCCAATCCTTAGGATTAGCAGTGAAAACTAACTTTGCTTATCCAAACGGATCTTCAAGATGCCAAGCAAAGTGCAATTTAAGGGCTGAGGCCAATTACGTTTATAGTTATGTTCTCAAGATTACTCTTTTGCGTTAAAACATATATTAGACACGGTCATAACAGACAAGTTAACACAAACCTGTGGTATACGGAAATTTTCTCTTTTGTTCTTTACTATAAATCTGTTTTTTTCTCTTTTAATTTAATAAAAATCTATACTGACTAAGTATCATACTTGACGAATATTTTTTCAGCATGTAAATGACTCCATTTACAGTATTAATAGATTACGCAGAACACTCATTTATATGCATCAAAACAAAAATTTAATCTCACTTTACATGGGTGATAGTTATTCGAAAAAATGGAATCAAAATAAAGCATGAAAATAATGAATATACTGCAAAGTAGTCTTTTCTTATTGAATGCAAAAATAAAACATCGAATATCTTCAAATGTAAACAATCGGTGGAAGATAAATTCGTGCGGAAATAACAGAGTTTGAAGATAGTAATGAATAACGATTTTTCTTGAAAGCTCAGTCATTTTTATTCCGGCGCAACCTCGCATTTTGAACGCAAGATGTACACTTTCCACTTGCCTTCTTATAACTAGTAAATGTTGCTAACCGCAGTTTAATAAAAGTGTTTTGTTCGCGTAGACCAAGAATAACATTAGGGCCAAAAAGTCATTTGAAGAACATTCCCCCTTGCTCTAAAAGGCAAAATTTGAAATACATTCATAAAGAATAAAATATTACCTGTAATTTATGTTTACATAAGGGGAAAACTCGCAGTAGTATTTTCAATGTTCAGTGTTTGCTGCATTCGTAATATTGAAATATCTCAGCCGCACTAGAAGAGCTTGTAATTATTGATTCATTGCAAACCCCGGCTCATTGACTGAATTTCGCAAATATAGGCTCCCAGTCATATCGAGGAGCAATATTCGATTTAAAAAATAACTTGAAAAAGCAGCGTAATACATGTCGAACAAAATTTCATAAACTATGACTAACTTTTCCTCACCGTTTAAACAGCTTTCGTCGCTAGTCCCTGTCACCTCGCCAGTTGCATTAATCGCGATGTAAAATCCGTTTTTTGCATACAGCTGTCGTTTCCGTGTGTACTTTTGGAGTGAGGAGAAAGTCAGAGATGACTTTGGACCAGCCATATCGAATCCTGACGCGAAAATTTATACGCAGTCTTCACTTGTCCGTCATAACGACCTGCGAAGAAGATTCGTGATGGATACCGCCATAAACCAAAATATAAAATAATGATGAATTAACGTATGCGAAATTGTTTCCGTTTCGCATCAATGTAGCCAATGAAACGACTGGAGATTGGAGTGTCTACTCAAGAAACAAAGGTTTTATTGTTTCTTCGCTTCGTGGTAAACCGCTATTGTTTTGATTCTTTTCTTGCTGTCACCGTTAAGACTCTCGCTAATCGTTATTGAAAAAAGAGATCACCTGTTCGAACGAAGTAGTCAAACAACCTGCCTAAATGTAAACAATTCAAGATTTGAATAACTCAGTGATGGAGAACGAAAGCAGTTCAACGGTAGCAACCTAGCAACTTTGTTGAACTTTGATCAGTTCGCAGAATACAAGAATTAGTTCCTTAGTACACCAAGTATAGCACGGAAAACCTAAAATTTGGGTTTTAGGCCTTTCTCGCACCTCAGAGAAGCGATTTCCATGAAGATAATTCACCTCTTGTAACTTGGATGCAAATAAAAACATCGATAAATTTTCCGGCCCAGACCATGATCGTAACGAAAAGTTATTTGACCAATCAATTGTTCAAAATTACTGAGGCTGAAATATCTACAATTTGTAATGTAAATTGATATGCCACACTCTTGTCATAACTGTCTAAACTATACAATACTTTGGTTTTTTAATTTTTTGGATAAATCATCAGGAACCCAAAAGGGAATTAAAAATGAAGCCACGAAATGAAAGTCCATTGTAAATAATTAGAAAAAAAAATGAAAAAAGTTAAATCATAATAACAGTAACTGATATATATACATTAGGATATATCAACAGTGTTGAAATGGTAAATTGGCCACCGTAACGATTACAATAGCTGAAGTTTCGAGCGTTAGCCCTTCGTCTGAGCGAGTAGAGGAATTGTGGGTTGTGTGTGCTTTTAAAGGTAGAAAATGGAGCTACGTTATTGGTGGGAACATGGCAACGAGAAAAACACGAATAAATTCGTGGAATGAAAAGCGTTCGTTGATCCCTGTGGGATTTAGACTGCCGGTTTGAAAGATGAGCTTTTGTTCAACTTTCCAAAATCTGTGCTGTAGTTTTATTACAATCTATCCGCACCAAAATATAGGAAACTAATTCGAAACTTTTCAATCATTTGAACCAAATTAAGGCCCAAAAAACTTGACCAAATTATCGGTCCCCAAATCGCTAACCACTCATTACCAGAAAACCTCAAAGCTGTAGTTACCATTCCGAAAACCTCTCACTTTCCGATTGAGAAAGATCTGTCCTCAGTAAGGGCTTAAATTTCGTTCCCATTTCTAAAACAACGGACGAATTCTCAATTAAACAAGACGTAGAAAAATTCCTTCGCCGCGTTCAATTAAAAGCCTTTTTTCACGACAAAGAGGATGATTCTAACATCTCGAACAAAGACACTTTCGAAACATTTCAGACCCGAAAGTCTAAATGGACTCCCCCAGAGGGCCAATTCGCATCATTTTTATTTAAAAATGCCGCCACGATATCAACAAACGTATTACCAAATTTTCTTCGCGGCACGTTCGTTTTTTGGCGCAACGACCTCTACCAAAAAGAAGCTTTGCGGCAACTTTCTGACACCTCTTTTTATCAAAAGGTCGACAAAGACCTCACTGCTATCAATCAAAACACCGTCAAGAATACGATCAACCAACTCATTACTAAACAAGTGTTGCCGGCCACAGCAAAAAATCTCATCATAACCACTCCTAGAACTTCCCGTATTTACTTTGTACCTAAAATTCACAAACCTAACAACCCGGGTCGGCCCATTGTCTCAGCTTGCAGTTGCCCTACCGAACTTATCTCCAGCTATCTAGACAAAATTATGGCTCCCATCGTCAAAACTTTACCATCATATATTAAAGACAGCCAACACGCTCTTCAAATTTTTCGAGACTTTAATTTCCTTGGCCAAAACAAACTTCTTTTCACCATGGATATTACGTCTCTTTACACTGTCATTCCTAATGGCGAAGGCCTTCTGGCCCTTAAACATTTTTTTGATCAACGTACTGTTAAGGAACCTAAATCTGAAACACTACTACGCTTAGCCGAACTAGTGCTCACACTCAATTGTTTTTCATTCGGAAACAACTTCTTCAAACAAACCAATGGTGTAGCCATGGGCACCAAAATGGGACCTAGCTATGCCAATCTTTTTGTAGGTTTTGTCGAACATCAATTTTTCAGCCAATACAACGGGTCCAAACCTGAACTCTACGGTCGCTACATCGACGACTGTATCGGCGCTACCTCCTCTACCAGAGAGGAGCTCACTCAATTCATAACTGCAGTCAATTCTTTTCACCCAGCTCTGAAATATACCTGGG